AAATCTTCAGTGCCAAGGCTTGGATGGCTCCTTAAACTCAGCAGGGAGTGGAAGCTGATGGGGGAGGATGGTGGGTGTGATCCTGGATCCTGTGATCCTCAGATCCTGGAGCTGAACGGGGTCAAGGATGGGTGAAGGATGAATGAAGGAATGCATAAGGATGGGTGAAGGTTGGCTGAAGGATGGATGAAAGATGGATGAAGGGTGGGTGAAGGACAGGTCAAGGATGGGTAAAAAATGGGTAAAAAATGGGTGAAGGATGTAGTCCCAGGTCTGGAGCTGAACCAGGGTCAAGGATGGGTGAAGGATGGGTGAAGGACAGATGAAGGAAGGGTGAAGGATGAATGAAGGATTCAGTCCCAGGTATGGAATTAAACCAGGATCAAGGGTGGGTGAAGGATGAGAAGGGTGGGTGAAGGATGGATGAAGCACGGGTGAAGGACAGGTCAAAGATGGGTGAAGAATGGGTGAAGGACTCAGTCCCAGGTCTGTAGCTAAAATCAGGGTGAAGGATGGGTGAAGGACGGGTCAGGGATGGGTGAGGGATTGGTGAAGGATGGGTGAAGAATGCAGCCCCAGGTCTGGAGATGAACCAGGGTCAAGGATGGGTTGAAGGACAGGTCAAGGATGGGTCAAGGACGAGTGAAGGGCAGGTGAAGGATGAATGAAGGACAACTGAAGGATTTTGGTCCCAGGTGTGGAGTTAAACCAGGATCTAGGGTGGGTGAAGGATGAATGAAGGAAGGGTGAAGAACAGGTCAAAGAGGGGTGAAGGATGGGTGAAGGACCAGTCAAGGATGGGTGAGGCATGGGCGAAGGATGGATGAAGGATGGGTGAAGAATGCAGCCCCAGGAGTTCTGGAGCTGAACCAGGGTCAAGGATGGGTTGAAGGACAGGTCAAGGATGGGTCAAGGACGAGTGAAGGACAGATGAAGGAAGGGTGAAGGATGAATGAAGGATGACTGAAGGATTCAGTCCCAGGTATGGAATTAAACCAGGATCAAGGGTGGGTGAAGGATGAGAAGGGTGGGTGAAGGATGAATGAAGGAAGGGTGAAGGACAGGTCAAAGAGGGGTGAAGGATGGGTGAAGGACAGGTCAAGGATGGGTGAGGCATGGGTGAAGGATGGATGAAAGATGGGTGAAGGGTGGGTGAAGGATGCAGCCCCAGGTCTGGAGCTAAACCAGGGTCAAGGATGGGTTGAAGGACAGGTCAAGGATGGGTCAAGGACGAGTGAAGGACAGATCAAGGACAGGTGAAGGACAGATGAAGGAAGGGTGAAGGATGAATGAAGGACGACTGAAGGATTCAGTCGCAGGTATGGAGTTAAATCAGGGTGAAGGATGGGTGAAGGATGAGAAGGGTGGATAAAGGATGAATGAAAGAAGAGTGAAGGACAGGTCAAAGAGGGGTGAAGGATGGGTGGAAGATGGATGAAAGATGGGTGAAGGACAGGTCAAAGACAGGTCAAAGACGGGTGAAGAATGGGTGAAGGATGCAGCCCCAGGTCTGGAGTTAAAATCAGGGTGAAGGATGAATGAAAGAAGGGTGAAGGATGGGTCAGGGATGGGTGAGGGATTGGTGAAGGATGCAGTCCCAGGTCTGGAGCTAAACCAGGGTCAAGGGTGGGTGAAGGATGGGTGAAGGACAGGTCAAGGATGGGTGGAGGAAGTGAGAAGGACGAGTGAAGGAGAAGTGAAAGACACATCCCCAGCCACTCCCCTGCAGCAGAAGCGTCACTCAGCCCCATCTGTGGGTTTAGATTCCCTTATTTTTATGGGACACAAGGCAGAGGAGCTTTGGGAATACACCCTGGCACCATCAGGAGCAGCCCCACAGCACCAGAAGCCTCCTCTCCACCCCGNGGATGGCTCCTTAAACTCAGCAGGGAGTGGAAGCTGATGGGGGAGGGTGGTGGGTGTGATCCTGGATCCTGTGAACGTCAGATCCTGGAGGTGAATGGGGTCAAGGATGGGTGAGGGATGAATGAAAGAATGGATAAGGATGGGTGAAGGTTGGATGAAGGATGGATGAAAGATGGATGAAGGACGGGTGAAGGACAGGTCAAGGATGGGTAAAAAATGGGTAAAAAATGGGTGAAGGATGTAGTCCCAGGTCTGGAGATGAACCAGGGTCAAGGATGGGTCAAGGACGAGTGAAGGACAGATGAAGGAAGGGTGAAGGATGAATGAAGGACAACTGAAGGATTCAGTCCCA